TGTTATACATAAGTGTAATATTGTTAACTATTCAGAGTATAATTTTATGCATAAATGTAATATTGCTAACTATTCAGAGTATAGTGTTATACATGAATGTAATATTGTTAGCTATTCAGAGTATAATGTTATACATAAGTGTAATATTGTTAGCTATTCAGAGTATGTTATGCATAATTGTAATATTGTTAGCTATTCAGAGTATAGTGTTATACATAAGTGTAATATTGTTAACTATTCAGAGTATAATGTTATGCATAAGTGTAATATTGTTAGCTATTCAGAGTATGTTATGCATAATTGTAATATTGTTAGCTATTCAGAGTATAGTGTTATACATAAGTGTAATATTGTTAACTATTCAGAGTATAATTTTATGCATAAATGTAATATTGCTAACTATTCAGAGTATAGTGTTATACATAAGTGTAATATTCTTAGCTATTCAGAGTATAATGTTATACATAAGTGTAATATTGTTAACTATTCAGAGTATAATTTTATGCATAAATGTAATATTGCTAACTATTCAGAGTATAGTGTTATACATAAGTGTAATATTCTTAGCTATTCAGAGTATAATGTTATACATAAGTGTAATATTGTTAACTATTCAGAGTATAATGTTATGCATAAATGTAATATTGTTAGCTATTCAGAGTATAATGTTATAGATAAGTGTAATATTGTTAGCTATTCAGAGTATAATGTTATGCATAAATGTAATATTGTTAGCTATTTAGAGTATATTGTTTGCTATCATGTGTATTTAGTGGGAAGTATTTTTAATGATACTGACTTGCTCAAAAACTCATCAGCCATCATCCAATCACGGTTGAGAGATTCCAGAGATGTGATATCTTCTGAAGTTAACTTGAAATCAAATATCTATAAACATATATATTAACAATGTGCTTAATATATATTAAGCAGCTGGTTTGACTTTAATTGAATGTTTCATTCTGCATTATGACCACAACTGAGCATGTATAAAATATTTCACTATAGTCTAGTATGGTATACACTCTGCAATGTATCAAATATTTCACTATAGTCTAGTATGGTATACACTCTGCAATGTATCAAATATTTCACTATAGTCTAGTATGGTATACACTCTGCAATGTATAAAATATTTCACTATAGTCTAGTATGGTATACACTCTGCAATGTATCAAATATTTCACTATAGTCTAGTATGGTATACACTCTGCAATGTATCAAATATTTCACTATAGTCTAGTATGGTATACACTCTGCAATGTATAAAATATTTCACTATAGTCTAGTATGGTATACACTCTGCAATGTATCAAATATTTCACTATAGTCTAGTATGGTATACACTCTGCATTGTGTGAGATTTGCAACATGACACTATGACAACAGAGAATTGTACAGGAATAAGCTATTTTCTTTATCAATTATTTTCCTAATATGTGTCCACCTTAACCTTTGTTTTTGGATTTTCAACAAACATATATACCTCAAGATTCTCTTTCATTCTACCTGGATTTACACTTTTCGGTATCACTGCACATCCAAGATCAATGCAAAACCTTAGCAATACTTGTGCTGGTGTTTTGTTGTGCTTGCTAGCAATGGACTTCACAACCTGGTCCTTCAACAAATTGGGGTCGTCATCTTTAGCCCTGTAATTAATATATAAAATAAATCTATAATTGCATGTAGGCTTACCGTATATTGCTGAACCATAAAATATTCTGAGCCTGAATACAGCATCGCCAATTTTTCGTACCAGTTGTCAGTTGGAAAAATATGTTGCTTATATAAGATTATTAAACTCAGGTAAAATGTGTTTAAAACAAGTTTTAGGTTCGATGTGATTTTATCAAATTTTGGAATTATGATTTCTTCGTACAAAGGCCTGTCCAATGAGAGGACAAATTTTGGAATTATATATAGTTTCTACTCACCAAGGCCTGTCCAATGAACCTAATGGACTGTAACATGTGGTAATGATATTTCGTTCATGACACCAATTAATTAATTTAGTTCTGGTAAAATACGGATGTGCTTCAATCTACGAACATATACATACAATGTACAGTATATACAAAAATCATTGTTACTGTGTGTATTTGATAGAATTTTAGGACACGAAAGGCTAGATTGATGAAATAACATCTAAACAAAAAAGTGATTGTGTATCTGAAAAACAGGAGGATATTAATATAAATATTAATATAAATTATGAAAATAGTGAGAGTCGTCATTTGGTCAGTTAAATGAAAGTCATCACAACGTTGACACAACACACGTGCACGCACACGTGCGCGTATGCACAAACACGCATATTATTACCTGATTGGTCACTGGTTTGTGTTTAGCCACACCAAGAACACGTTCCAACTGTTTGTGATTGAAATTGGAGACACCAATAGACTTGACTAACCCATCATCTACCAGTTTTTCTATTTCCTGCATTTTACAATTGTTGCATAATCTTTAATATATGAATTATGACACTTGAGATACACAGCCATTTAACGCCATTGTGTTTTTCTATGTAAACTTAACTACATGCATTTTTTTCAGATACACAAAGCGGTCTTTTTTTGTATGCATACACACATGTTATATATAAGAGAGTACAACTATTGCATCACAGAAACTGGTCAGTTTTGTGATATTTCTGCTGAACTACACACCATGCGAAGCATACTTATTAATAACATATACAAATTTCATTCACAAACAATACTTCGCTTACCAATATGAGGCGTTTGAAAGGATAATTAATGTCAATAGATAGAAATATAGAATAAAATACGAGTGAGATACAGAAACTTGTCTCATGTTAATTTCACTCAACCAATGTATAACGATTAATTTGAGTAATATATGTCGTCTTGCACATCTTTTTGCACCAATTTTTATTGCTACAGACTTCGGGCTCTCACATAAAATTAACCCAATTTCAGAACAAGTTTGGACTTGATGTACATAACATTGAATTTTAGAGTTTAAATGTCATGTACACCACATACGTACCCTGTATGTGTCAAGAAAATCAACATCTGCGGGTACTGCCCTCCCAGCACTGTCTGTCATAACACCATTCTCATCCGTCTTTAAAAAATTAATTTATTATTTACTAAAAAAATGTTGTATAGCAAGTAAATTTAACAAAAATGTATGTTAGTTTATTTAAAATGAAGATATTTTGTTATTCGAAAAAAACACTATACACTCTACACGTGGTAACTTAAAAATAAAATAAAAAAAAATAGCTGTACCTGTATAGCAACTGGAAAATGAATCAAATATAAATCAATATAGTCCAACTGTAACTTTTTGAAAGACTCCATAAATGCACCACGTACAACTTCTGGTGCCATGTGAAAAACAAGTAACTGTAAATAAACCACTTTCTAGTGTGAACAAAACAATTTAGGTCATCCATTTGAACAGACATTACGTAAGGTTCTTAGATAACACACAATTCACTATGAATTTTAATTCAATTACTTTTATCATGGTTATAAGTTGGGTTTAATATTAGACATTATTGCACATTAGGTTACCATTTCCATTGTGTGTGGACATTTATTTATATTGTCAAGTCAATATAATTCTAATTAGATTACCCTGGATCATTTACAGAGAGTCATTCAATAATAAATAAGGATGAACGTGTTAGCACATTATATGTCAAAAATGTCACATAATAATTTTTTTAGGACAATTATCAATAGATTTTAATCTTTATATCCAGTATGATTTTGTTTTTGCAGAAAACAATTTGGAACAATATGCATAGAAATCTGTGTTAAAGCAATATTTAAAAAAAACAAATAAATAGTATTCATTGAATGTTCCCTCCTTGTAATAACATGATTGTGTCACGATATTTAATAAAATGTCATTTTCAGATATATCATTGCCTTAGAAACCAATGAGAAATGGGTTATAATCAACATTTTTAAGATTGATTAGTAATCATATTATATTTATTTTGTGAACAACAGCAAAAAATAAAATAGTCTGTTGTAATGTCAGCCTTCTATCATAATCTGTAGTAATTATCAAATGTTTACGTCATTAACAAAACAAGGCAGGTTTTAACCTGTATGTCTACATACATGTAAGGATCTACTAACGATCAAACCAATACAGACGTCATATGGTTGCATAAACAAAAGTGCCAAACTGGCAATATTTACCTTAGTGACAATAAACAGATCTTCTCTTTTTATTTTTCCATCACTAAGTACTTCTTTTAAGGCATCTCCAATTTCTTTTTCATTATTATACAGGCATGCCGTATCAATATGACGATAACCAATGTCAATAGCAGACTTCACTGCATTACCAACTTCATCAGGTTTCACCTGCAACAAGACATTAGAGTTAAACTCACATGCAATGTGTGATATATGCAAGTGATAGAAGTTAGTCAATTAAATTACATATTTTATCATACATAATTATAAGGAAATATTTCTATTAAATAAAACTTATTGATTTGGGGAAATTTTGCAGTTCTTTCAATGCATATAGGCAGTTCTTTCAATGTGTGTGGGCAGTTGTTTCTGTTAATGTGGGCAGTTCTGTCAATGCATGTGGGTAGTTCTTTCAATGAGTGTGAGCAGCTCTTTCTGTTAATGTGGGTAGTTCTTTCAATGCATGTGGGAAAGTCTTTCAATGTGTGTGGGCAGTTCTTTCTGTTAATGTGGGTAGTTCTTTCAATGCATGTGGGAAAGTCTTTCAATGCATGTGGGCTGTTCTTTCTGTTAATGTGGGTAGTTCTTTCAATGCGTGTAGACAGTTCTTTCAATGAGTGTGAGCAGTTGTTTCTGTTAATGTGGGTAGTTCTTTCAATGCATGTGGGAAAGTCTTTCAATGCATGTGGGCAGTTCTTTCTGTTAATGTGGGTAGTTCTTTCAATGCATGTGGGAAAGTCTTTCAATGTGTGTGGGCAGTTCTTTCTGTTAATGTGGGTAGTTCTTTCAATGCATGTGGGAAAGTCTTTCAATGTGTGTGGGCAGTTCTTTCTGTTAATGTGGGTAGTTCTTTCAATGCATGTGGGAAAGTCTTTCAATGTGTGTGGGCAGTTCTTTCTGTTAATGTGGGTAGTTCTTTCAATGCATGTGGGAAAGTCTTTCAATGTGTGTGGGCAGTTCTTTCTGTTAATGTGGGTAGTTCTTTCAATGCATGTGGGAAAGTCTTTCAATGCATGTGGGCAGTTCTTTCTGTTAATGTGGGTAGTTCTTTAAATGCATACGGGAAAGTCTTTCAATGTGTGTGAGCAGTTCTTTCTGTTAATGTGAGCAGGTCTTTCAATGCATGTAGGCAGTTCTTTCAATGTGTGTGGGCAGTTCTTTCTGTTAATGTGGGTAGTTCTTTCAATGCATGTGCGAAAGT